CCCCAAAACCCCAAAACCCCATTGAATCATTAATAAAAGTCAATTTTATCAGAAATTATTGTAAAATAAATTATCTACAAATGGAAAGAAATAAATATAATCTATCTAAATCACCTTTGATGGCAACTACATAAACAAGCTAATGGCTTAAAACATAAGATTTTACATCTCCATTAACTCGTAACTAATAGAATTCTAGATATGAACCTTATACTACTTCAAAAGAATCAATAATCTTTGATGTATACACTGAAAAGAGAAAAATGGAAAATAAAACTAGAAATAACTCTACTCGTAAATTAGTGAACATCAGCAACCCAACCATTCATATATCTTATAAACCTCAAACATATACCCCGAAACAAGCTGCTTTAGCAATGATGGATAAAAAACATATAATGATCTTGACAGGAGAAGATTTTACTGCTGATAGTGGCCTTCCTTCATTAAGATCTTATAATCGACACAAGGTATGTGTAAATGGAGAGTATCTAGACGTTGAAAAAGTAATGAAAATGCAGTACTTCACTGATTACACAGAAATCTGCTGGAGATTTCTCCAAGAATATATAACTATACATGAAAAATGCCATCCAAACAAAGCTCATCATAGTATCTTAAAATTCTAGGAGTATTGCTATAAATAATAAGAAAGTGAATGTTTTCTTGTAGATTAAAATATAGACGGCTTTCATTCCAAACTAATCAGATAAAGTAAGATCCTTAATCCAAGAGACTGAGACTTAGAATTTGAAAACTATGATAGAAAAATATCGGAGCTAAATCCTTTCACTTCTTAAGTGTATGAAATTCATGGAAATATCAAGTATATGCATTGTACTAATGAAGATAAAGATTGTTGTATGAACTTCATAAGAACTCCATCCTCAACAGAATTCGAAAGTGAAGATAAAAGACTTGTTTAGAAATGCAAATACTGTGATTCACTAATGCGTCCACATCTCTTGTTCCTAGATGAAAAATACAATTAGAAGTATTACAAGGCCAAGAATGCATATGAATTTATGAGAGATAAGATGGATTGTTTGATTTTAGTTGGATGCACAGATTTAAAGGGCTTTCCTAAATGAATAGTAGACAAAGCTATTGAAATGAAGGATATTCCAATTATTGAGTTCAATTAAAGCAGTATTGTGAAAGGAGGGTATAAATTACACATTGATGAAAATCTGGAAAAAGCTGTTGACTAATTGTTTTAAGAATACTATAGATTGGAAAAAGTATAATAAGAAGTGAACTCACTTATTTCAACTAATCGAAATAAATTGAGAAATATTTTACAATCCTACTCAAGGAACAATGTGGGATATCAAAACTCATCTAAATCTCCTTTGATTACCAACAAAGGTCATTAGCTATATGCAAATAGTACTGGGAGCTCTTGGCTTTAAAAAACAGGAAATAGTATAAATTTATATAGCTCTTCATCATAGATAGGAAGGCTTCGAGAATTATAAAAGACAGCTACGGATTTCAGTAGTCTTTTATGATTTTAAAACTTGATTTAAAATAATAAATTTGGCAGTAGTTCAGATAATTTAGAATCGAATTAGGGGTTTTGGGGTTTTGGGGTTTTGGGG